CTCCATTGATTATGCAAAAACCTTTGTGTGTATCACAACAAACTATGGAAAATTCTTAAAGAGATGGGGTTACCAGACCACCTGACCTGCCTCCTGAGAAACCTGCATGCAGTTCAAGAAGCAACAGCTAGAACTGGACATGGAACAACAGGCTGGTTCCAAATTGGGAAAGGAGTACGTCAAGACTCTATATTGTCACCCTGCATATTTAACTTACATACAGAGTACATCATGAGAAATGCTGGGCTGGATGAAGCACAAGCTGGAATCAAGATTGCCGGGAGAAATATCAATAACCTCAGATATGCAGGTGATACCACCCTTATGGCAGAAAACGAAGAGGAACTAAAGAGCCTCTTGATGAAAGTGAAAGAGAAGAGTGAAAAACTTGGCTTAAAACTCAACATTCAAAAAATGAACATCATGGCATCCAGTCCTGTCACTTCATGGCAAATAGATGGGGAGACAATGGAAGCAGTGACAGACGTTCTTTTCTTGAGCTCCAAAATCATGCAGATGGTGACTGCAGCCATGAAATTAAAAGATGCTTGCTCCTTGGAAGAAAAGCTATGACAAACTGAGACAGCATATTAAGAAGCAGAGATATTACTTTGCCAACAAAGGTCTATCTAGTCAAAGCTATGGTTTTTCCAGTAGTCAGATATAGATGTGAGAGTTGGACTATAAAGAAAGCTGAGTGCTGAAGAACTGATGCTTTTGAACTGTGGTGTTGGAGAAGACTCTTGAGAGTCCCTTGGACTGCAAGGAGATCCAACCAGTCCATCCTGAAGGAGATCAGTCCTGGGTGTTCTTTGGAAGGACTGATGCTGAAGCTGAAACTCCAATACTTTGGCCACCTGATGGAAGAGCTGATTCATTGGAAAAGACCTTGATGCTGGGAGGGATTGAGGGCAGGAGAAGGGGATGACAGAGAATGAGATGTTTGGATGGCATCACTGACTGGATGGATATGTGTTTGAGCAAGCTGTGGGAGTTGGTGATGGACAGGGAGGCCTGGCATGCTGTGGTCCATGGGGTCGCAGAGAGTCGGACACGACTGAGCGGCTGAACAACAACCTGTCCCCTATGAAGCATTTGCTCATGCTCCATGTTCTACTCTGATCCTCCCATCAGGGAAGTGCTTTACCATCAAAGCCTGATCAAGAGTGGTCTTCACTCTGAACACCAAGTGGAAACTTGCTCCTTTGTGTCACATTGTATCTCCACTGGTTTTCTCCTAGTGCCCATAGTAAGATATCATAGTTACTAATATTTATGTACTTCCTCCTCTGCCCCCAAATCGTCTGTGCCTTCCTTCTGGTTTAGTTCTGTGTCTTGCCCATCTTGGCCTTGCCAGTAACTGGTACTGTGCTGTGCCAAGTTGCTTCAGCCGTGTCTGTCCCCGGGATTCTCCAGGCAAGAATACCTGGGTGGCTGCCAGGCCCTCCTCCAGGGGATTTTCCCAATCCAGGCATCGAACCTACATCTCTTACATCTCCTGGTGGGTTCTTTACCACTAGCATCATCTAGGAAGCCCTAGTAACTGATACAGGAAGTTGCAAATAGTCATTCAATACAAGTTTGCTGAATGAATAGGATCATCACATCAGTTCATTGGAAATGAAAAACAGACAAGGAACCTGAGGCCAAGGACGTTAAGAGGCTTCCTCAGACTCATGTTGTTAATTTAAGTGGCAATGCAACAACTAACACCCAAGTCTTCCAGTTTCTAGGTCATTACAGCTTTCCAGCTCTTAAAACCAACAAATCTAGCAAGCTGCCTTGGGGGAGATTTTTATTCCTCTAAATGTTACAGATACCATTCATTCAAATATTCAACCTGTATTTTTTTGAGTGTTTAGCAGAAGGCAGGTGCTGTGCTAGATATTGAGATTACAGAAGAGAACAAGACAGAAATATGTCCTTTTTCACCAGAAACCTTCTACTGGAAGCAGACAAAAATGGATAAAGAAGTAAATAAGATATGAGGTGGGCAGGCAGGGGCCAGAGCAGGTGGAGGCTTGGAGGGGGCAGGCAGGGGCCAGAGCAGGTGGAGGCTTGGAAGTCATCATAGGGGGCATGGATTTTATTTGAAGAGCAGCCATGGACTTCTTCAAGCTGCCAATTTGATGGCTATGGGATAAGAGTTTGGAGTGGAGTGGATGAAAGAAGCTGAGCTGAATTACTACACAGTTCCTGAAGAAATAAGATAGGGTTTGGACCAGGGTGGTAATAGCAAAAACAGGAGGGGAGGGACTGATCTGAGATTTTTAGAGCAAGCCTGCCACTGCTTGCTGGTTGGGTTGGTTGTGGTTAGATTCTCTGATCTGTGAGAATGGTCATCAATCACTTCCGTCATGTGCCTGCATCAAGTTGATGACCGTAGAGGTAGCAAGTTAGGATTCCTGAGTCATCGAGGGATTTCAGCATTTGGTCATTGACAGCTGTTTCTGTAAACCACTCCTGTATACTTTATTATGTGACCAGTATTATCAAAGTCCTCTTTCAGGGGTTAAATTTTTTCTTGTACCTCCTAAGGCCAAGGATGATGGCAATAGAACCCTGGTCATGGACCCATCAGGCTTCCCAGGAGGCGCTAGTGGTAAAGAACCCACCTGCAATGAGTTTGAGCAAGCTCTGGGAGTTGGTGAAGGACAGGGAAGCCTGGCATGCTGCAGTCCATGGGGTCGCAGAGTCAGACATGACTGAGTGAACAACAACCACCAATATTCCTGCCTGGGGAAATCCCACAGACAGAGGTGCCTGGCCAGCTATAGTTCATCGGGTCACACAGAGTCAGACCCAACTGAACCGACTTAGCACACATGGGCCTGTCCGGCTTTGCACGTGGCCTCTGACCGTGCCTTTTGGAGTTTGACATGATGGCCAGTATTGTGTAGGAAAAGCATGGGTTTTGAGGATGCACAGTGCCTGTTTCAAAGTGTGTAACTTTGGGAAAGATTCTTAATCTGGTGAAGCCTCACCTGTCTGATCTGTAAAATGGACATTAAGAGTACATACCTCAGAGAGTCAGTGTGAAAATTTAAGGACATAAGTAAAGTGCTCAGCAGGCCCTCAGTGACTTTTGTTTCTTCTCTCCAGAACCAGCATGTGGGGAAGGAGAAAGTTCAGGTAAAAGAAGGAACAGTCTTCACATTCTTTGGCACCTGCTGGGGCCCTGATACAACTGCACCCTCAACCAACATCTTCAAATCCTTAGATAGGTGCTCACCTAGTTTTGGGCTTCCCTGATAGCACAGTTGGTAAAGAATCTGCCTGCATTGCAGGAGACCCCACTTCAATTCTTGGGTCAGGAAGATCCCCTGGAGAATGGATAGGCTACCCACTCCAGTATTACTGGGCTTCCCTTGTGGCTCAGCTGGTAGAGAATCCGCCTGCAATGTGGGAGACTTGGGTTTGATCCCTGGGTTGGGAAGATCCCCTGAAGAAGGGAAAGGCTACCCACTCCAGTATTCTGGCCTGGAGAATTCCATGGTCTGTATAGTCCATGGGGTCGCAAAGAGTCAGACACGACTGAGTGACTTTCACTTCACCTAGTTTCAAGGAAGAAACGATTCTCCTCTTGGCTTATAGAACTTGAGGAGGTATAGTTTGGGGTTCAAAGTAATTCTTTTAACAAGCTAGTGGCTTGAACTTTTCTCTACCTCCAGCTAGGCTATTCATAGGGGAATAATGGCAGCATGATAACGAGGTTCTTCTTTAGCCAATACTGTGGTATCAATTCTGGACCTGGGGTTAGTTAGAAAGTGTGAGACTCCTGTGAAGAGCCTTCTCTTACTGACTTTCAGAGAAACGTGTTTTGAGTTAGTGAGTTAGAAGGACATCTCTGTGGCTTGTGTCAGCACCTCTGACCTAAGTTCTCCCCTGAAGAACACAGGGGGCTCTTCAGAGGAAACCAGAACTTGGAAGGTGGACTTTAGGCAGGCAGGAAAAGGAACGTTCCAGCTTTCTCCTAGATCTGGCCTTTTAAAGAAGGATATTGAGGAATGTAAAGTAGGGATGACAGATTGGTTTGACTCTTTAGTTGTTAATACCTAGAGGACTGAATCTACTCTGCTCTCTGAGGAAGAGGACTGTGGTTGATTGGTGATGTCTGTCAAGAGTAGTGTAGGGAGTAAACTAAGCACGTAGGCTACAAATTAATCATCTCTGGTGTAGAAATTCCCGAGATCTCCTAGGAGGGCAGGGGCTAAACGGGACCTCCCCCACATGGAAGAAACCAGAGAGCCAGGCAGGAGGGTGTCCCCCTAGGGCTCATTTACTAAAGCTGGATACACCACGTGGTGTGTATCAGATAATCTGGCCGCTCGTTATGTTGTTACTGTAGTTGATTTATCTTTTTTTGATCCTTAAGCCATCACTGTAATTTTTCAAAAATGTCTACACTTTGTCACGGGGGGTGGGGGAGGGTCCACGTTTGGACTGAAGTACAAAGAGGGGGTACGGGCCCCTGAGAACAGCAGGGCAGGCAGTGGACAGGGTCCAGAAGCCCCAAAGCGGGGCTCAGCCTCAGAGCCCCCGTCTCCGGTGTGGATTTTCCCTTCTTTTTGGTAGCTCTAGGCAAGCTGAATTCTTAATTTTCTGCCGCCAGCACACTGCTCCTCTTTCAGCTTCACCTTTTTCAGGAGTTTGCCAAAGACTTTTGCCAAGCTAGTTAATCAACCGTTTCAATTCCTAATGCCATTGAGAGAAGGGAAAGGCAACCAAGAAGACTTAAATTGAATGAGCATTTCCTAGTATTTTTAATATATTTTATCTATTTGTCTTTCCTTAAAAAAAAAAACAAAACACTTTAATGAGGTACGACTGACATATAAAAAGCTGTATACATTTAATAAACGCAAATTCCATGAATTGGGGGGTAGACATACATCTTCACAACCTTCACGACCATCAGGGCCATAAACATATCCATTGCCTCCCAAAGTTTCCTTCCATTTCCATTATTATTATTTGTGGAAGAAAATTTTTTCTCCCAGTTACCCTATGAGTAAGTACTACCGTCACCGTCTAGACCACGACGAGAGTGAGGTTCAGGGAGGTCGGGAACAGGCCTCGGATCCCGCCGACGGCAAAGCCACGCCCCCGGTGGCCCACGTGCGCGCGCTCTCCAGGGCGCATGCTCCTTGGACCCGCCGCGGCCCGCACGGAAGACTGTGGGCTCTGTGCAGAAGGTTGGGCTCTGCCAGAGCTGAGCCGGGACAGCGGGGTACCCGGACCGACAGGAGAGAGTAGGGATGCATGATGCTCTATGAGCCGGGGAAGAAAGCTCTTTCCCTGCCCAGAGAGAGGGCGCTGTGGACCAGGTGCCCATGGGAGCTAGACGGACCCACGGGGAGCCAGACGGACCCTCGGGCTCCTGTCCCAGCCTCTGTGCTAGAAATGCTTTTAACCACAGGATTTACTCTATGGATTTGTATTGGTATCATTTTCAAAGCACTGCATGGGGTGTTAGCTATGTGACTTTCACTGAGTTTGAATGGGAATTGTATGGGGGTGAGGCAGCATGATTTAACTTGGTGTCACCATGAATATTTTTAGAGACCTTTTGAATCCTTTGTAATTACACTATCTGTGCTTTGGGCCTAGTGTTATTGTTCAGTTGACAAAATACTCTTTGCTAATTACAATAAACAAAGGATTTCATTTCTCTAAAAAAAAAAGGTTTCGGAAGCTTTTCATTGCTTCCGGATGTTTAAAAAATAAATGGCTAAGACAGGCACACTCAAGACAATTTTTATCACAATTGCATCTGTATTGCTTGCAAACAAGGAAGGCTTTCTTACACGTTTCGTCTGAATGTGTCGGCAGAGAGAGAATGGGTCTGTGTGCAAAGTTTAAACTGAAGCCTGGATTTTGTGTCGCTGAAGCTCAGTTCAACATTGTTGCCTTCTGATTTCAGTATGCCTTGTAGGTGGAATCCTGGGGAGTTTTCTGTGCTCTAGTGGAGAGGGAATTGCAATGGCACCCCACTCCGGTACTCTCGCCTGGAAAATCCCATGGACGGAGGAGCCTGGTGGGCTGCAGTCCATGGGGTCTGGAAGAGTCGGACACGACTGAGTGACTTCACTTTCACCTTTCACTTTCCTGCACTGGAGAAGGAAATGGCACCCCACTCCAGTGTTCTTGCCTGGAGAATCCCAGGGACGGCGGAGCCTGGTGGGCTGCGGTCTATGGGGTCGCACAGAGTCGGATGCGACTGAAGTGACTTAGCAGCAGCAGTCTTCCATTTCACCGATGAGAGGGCCGGAGGAGACAGAAATCACGGGCTGGTGGAATCTTAGCTCTGCCATGTGCTGTGTGACTTGTGGCAGGTCACCGTACCTCTCTGAGCCTCGAGTGCAAACTGGAGAGAATGTCAGTAACCTCCCTTCCAGCGTTGTTGGGAATGGATGGAAAGCACTTAGCACAGTGCGCATTCAGGGAGTCTTTATCTGGAGTTGGCTATTATTTTTTAAGATGTGCTCAATAAATATGTAGTGAATGAATGAAGAATATTTGTTCTGATCGCAAGATGCTTCAGGCAGCATTTTCAATTTTAAGTTATGCTAGGAAGAAAGCCTAATGAAATGCCAGCCTCCCCGAGGAACCTTGTAACTTCTGATTGTCTCCAGCAAGGCTGGCTGCAACACTTCCTGTGTCACTGTGGCTGTCTGCATTTTGCAGCAACAAATCTGATCTGATGCGAGCGAAGTGGAATTAGGTGGGTCTGACCGAGCAGGGCCCCAGGGGGCTGGAAAGTGCTTCTGTAGCTATTCATAGTGGATACAGATTGAACTCTCGCCACCAGGCATCGTTCTAAATGTTTGGTGCTTACAACCATAACGCTACCAACAGGCACTCTGATTATTCCCATTTTACGGATGGAAAAACCTGAGACAGTTTCAATTAGGAAGTATCTTGAATTGCCTTGGCTTATAAGGGATTGAACTGGGATCTAAGCCCAGAACTGGTGTCTGGCTCTGGTTTTGGCCTTGACCACTATGCTCTGTGGCTTCCCAGGTGGCGTTAGTGGTAAAGAGCCTTCCTGCCAGTGCAGATGAGCGTTCAATCCCTGGGTCGGAAAGATCCACTGGACGAGAACATGGTAACCCACTCCAATATTTTTGCCTGGAGAATCCCATGAACAGAGGAGACTTGTGGGCTACAGTCCATGGGGTCGCAAAGAGCTGGACACGACTGAAGTGAGTTAGCACAGACACACACACGCATGCATTGTGCTCTGTGGCCTCCCTGGAGCTTGCAGATCTGAGAATGCCTTGAATAGGATGGATGTGATGAGTTGGAAGGTAAATTGAGAAGAGGATATTGGTTCTCTGATCCACAGAAGCTCTGCTAAGAAATGGACCCAGAGTAGAAAATTCAACTTGGTGCCTAGAGCTGGCCTTGTTGAGGCCCTCTGTGTGCATGATGCATGTACACACTCACACACACTCACACACACACACACACACACACGTGTTTATCATGGAGAAATAGAAAGAAATAGTATGAGGACTGTAGGAAAACACAGCATCACTGAACTAAGGAATTTGGAAGACAAGGGAATGCTGGACGGCTCTCACAGATTGACCTGATTTCCTTTTACTCTTTAACATTTTTTCAGGCTTTCCTATCTGGGGAGAAGATACAGTCACAGTCTTTCCTAATGTGTCCTTCTCCCGTAGGAACGTGCTCCCCGCCTTAGGTGAGGACAGCTGACAGTCACAGAGACAGACTCCAGCTTGTGTCCTGGTCTACACCCTCCTGCCGTTCCTCTTGGGAGTCCAGGGCTGTGTAAATCAGCCGCGAAGAGAGTTTAGCAATTAAGGAACCTGACACCTAGGTGATTGCTCCATCCCCAGGGGTTTCTGAACCTTTTTGAGCCGTGAATCTCTATGTTCAAACAAAATCCTACCCAGACACCTGGCATGTGAGGCAGCGGGAAGCAGAGCTTCTCTGGTGGAAGCTGGGGGTCCCCGGGCCCTGCCCCCCTCCCACAGTGAAACCCTGGGGTAAAGAGAGCGGTGTGAAAGCCCCAGCAACTCACAGCTTCCCTTTATAACCTGAAGAACAGCTTGTCCCTCTGCCATCCTCTGTCTTTCTCATCCTCTGGGTGATGGTGATCTATTGGTTATGTGTGTTAGTCGCTCAGTCGTGTCCAGCTCTTTGCGACCCCATGGGCTGTAGCCTGCCAGGCTCCTCTGTCCGTGGAATTCTCCAGGCAAGAACACTGAGTGGGTTGCCAATCCCTTCTTCAGGGAGGATCGAGCTTGGGTTTCCTGCAGCTGGGCAGGCAGGTTCTTTACCGTCTGAGGCACCAGGGAAGCCCACGGGTTATAAACAGGCACAGCTAGAACACAGGGATCAAAAGGCCATTTTAAACGGCCAGACTTAACACTCATTCTGCTCCAGACTCCCCTAAAAAATGAAGGATGGTGTTAGAAAATTACTGAAAGGTACAATAGCTTAGAGATTGGAAACATGGATCGTGGAATCGGATTGTCTAAGTTCAAAGCCCAGCTTTTCTACTCACTCCCGCTGTGTGACCCTAAACAAGTTTCTTAGCCTCTGTGCTTTAATTTTCTCACTTGTAAAGTGAGGATTAAATAATAACAAACTCTCTCATTGGGTGGTTGTGAGACTTAGCTTAACCGGTAGAGATTATCTAGAACAGTTACCTGAATTGATGGAGATGACTCATGGGAAGTGCTCAATAAGTGTTGGTCGTTACTATTTCAATAATCTTTTCTCTCTTCCCAAGGGCGAACTCCAGTGTATCCTAAGATGTCAGCGACAGACCTTGTGACAAGTAGGCCTTTTTGAGAGGAGGAAGAATAGAGAGGCAAAGGAAGAAGAGGGAGGTCAGGGAACGCACAGACACCGCAGAGAGGGAATCCCGTTCTGTGGGAGCCGTGACCCCTTCCCCGCACCCCGGACCACAGGGTCTCGAGCAACTGAAGAAATGGGACAGTACCTCACACACACTGAAGGAACAAAAAGACGCATTGAAATTTTACATAACAGTTTTGTTTTATGAACCGGCGCTTCTTCACCCAACCATTTTAGAGTCAGTAATTTTCTTTCTGTTGCTTTTGGAGTTGGACTCCCCTTTATTATGGGGGATGCTGAAATATTTCAAGATATTCCAGGCCCTGTCGCCTTGCTCCAGAAGCTGGGCCAGGAGAACATCACATATTCTGGCCGGAAGACCTCCCACGGGGTTCAAGAAGGCTGCAGGGCAGGAATGCCAGGTTACTCTGGAAATTACTAGCTGGCTAAATATAGTGGGTACTCATGCGGTTATTCTGTTGATTTTTTTTTTTTTCTAATCAGTTTACTGGAGACCTTAACCTTTATAATTCTTAATAGCTGGGTGGCTGGAGAAACAGTTCTGGTATCTTCTTACATGAGTAATTAAGGGATCGATTTCATAGAGCCTAGGCTCACACAAGCCTAGAGTGTAAGTGCTTGGTGTCCAGAGCCAGGTGGTCAGGAAACGAGCAGACTTCAGGTGAGCTGAAGAAAAGACATTGGTATCCTGGGAACCTGGAGTCCAAGCTGGGCAGCACCACAGATAGAAGGTAGCCAGACTAGAAGATGCTGCTCATTAATTCTCTAATTTTTAAGACAGCTGAGAGCATTGAGAGTTAAGTCCAACATAAATGTAACAGGGAAAACAAAGAAAAAAAAAGTAACAGGGTCTGGTGTTAGAATCTAAGGAAACGTGGACGTCTGTAGTCATAGGACACATATAATCATACATTGGGCAATGATAAATACATAAATACAGGCCATCATAGGAATCATTATGATTGAAAAAGTGATAAGTAATCTGCAAGGGATGTATGACGATCTAAAGATATATTTCTTTCCTGTTCCTCTCAATTTTGACTTTGACTGGACTTTGATTCCAGAGTCTGGTGGTTAGATAGCATCAACAACTAAATGGATATGAGTTTGAGGAAACTCTGGGAGATAATGAAGGACAGAGAAGCCTGGCGTGCTGTAGGCCATGGGCTCACAAGGAGTCTGAGATGACTTAGCAGCTGAACACCACCAATAACGTACAATAGCCACGGGGGAAGTGGGTTTATTCTGACATTTCTCAGTCTTTTGTTTCCAGATCGGAGCACTGGGCTGGGTCCCCTGTCTAAATCCCACTGTGGCCACATGTTGGTGTGTTTGCCCAGGTCTCAGGGCAGAGAACAGGTTGAGAAAGAGGTGTCCTGTTAAAACTTCACCTCTTTTCTTCC